GATCATAATCATCCTAAAAATACAGTCATTATGAATCATAAGATACAACACTTAAGTGATACGTCCTAGGATACTAAATAATCAACATAAATCATACTAGGATACTAAACAAAACAATTAATATCAACCTTTATTCACTTAAGCTATTTCTGTTGTGTTTTACTGTAATTAAGTGCAGTGGCACTAGAAATATTCCCAACATTTGATATTTTATTTATATCCCATATTGGCAAATGGACCTAAACATGAGCTGTTTTCAATAACTGATGGGGCATTCACAACAGTGTAAATGTTGCAAACTTTCCACTTTTCCCTGGAGCCTGAACGGTGTAGGAGTTTACAGCACTTAGCACGTCACTGGCAGGAAAATTACCAAGCTTTTTTTTTTTAAAAAAAAAAACCTCCTCCTTCCTTTTGTATAGGAGTGCTAGTCAATCATACCCTTGTTGCTAACTCTGGGGAAGATTAGTTTTAATTATCTAAAAATCATAAAATATAAGTGAGTAAAATTTGCTTGCAGCTCAGGAGGGAAATGCAAACAATAAGGGGTTTATTTCGCCCCATGAACTTAAATCAGTCTCTGAAATATGAAATGTAACAGAGGGGATAAAACCAGTGAGTTACTGGCTAATATTAACTGCTCCTGTAAAAAGAATAAATATTTAGCAACCAGTTATGTACTCCTTTCTGGTGCTTTTTCAAGTGGCAAATGGACTTTCTGGAAAGTTCGGTTCAGAAAGTTCAGATCTATTTGTTTCTAGGTTTCTCCAGGGTTTAATTTTCCAGAGTCAGGTCTGTGCAAATCTTTGGAGCGGTGCCTCAAGTTGAGTGAAACTTCACACGAGGTTATGCAAGTAGATTCCTGAACTGAAACCGCATTTCACACACTGTGGAATTGTGTGTGTTTCTGGAACATGTTGTAGCCAGTTGAAGCACTTCGCTTCCAACTTCTGAGGTGGTCTCAGGCAATACACAGTGTTGTAAAGTGGGGGGCAGGGGGTAACTTCTATGGTTGGCTCCCCGACACTTGAGCAGGCTGATCAGCTGTCTCATTTTATGTCCAATCGTAGCTCTTTTGAGTGATGATGTGAAAAGTGACTTCCTTTCTCAGGAAACATTCATACATCACTATTTAACAAAATCATATTCAATGTAGAGAAAAGTAAAGTCCTACACAACCAAAAGTACACATATAGACTGGGTGACACCAGGCTTAATAGCAGTAATTGTGAGATCTTGGAGTTTTAGTGGACAGCCAGCTAAATATGAGCCAGCAATGTGCTGCGGCAGCCAAAAAAGCCAATGCAATCCTAAACTGCATTAAGAGAGGGATACAATCAAGTTCAAGTGAGGTACTAATACTACTCTATAAAGCCCTAGTAAGACCACACCTACAGTACTGCATCCAGTTTTGATCACCACACTATAAAAAAGATGTTGAGACTCTAGAAAGAGTGCAGAGAAGAGCAACCAAGATGATTAGGGGACTGGAGGCTAAAACATACGATGAACGGTTGCAAGAACTGGGCATGGCTAATTTAGTGAAGAGAATGGAGATTTTGCAGTATCCTTCCCCTGCCATGCCCACCAAGCCGTGCCCACAGAACCGGTAGTAAGATAATTTGAATTCCACCACTGGGTCAGGCTATTTTCCAAAGCACCTGAAGGCCACACAAGGAATAATGGATGGAAACTGAACAAGGAGAGATTCAACCTGGAAATAAGAAGAAATTTTCTGACGGTGAGAGCAATCAACCCATGGAACAGGAGTTGCCTTTAGAAGTTATGGGAGCTTCATCACCGGAAGCTTTCAAGAAGAGACTGGATTGCCATTTGTCAGAAATGGTGTAGGGTCTCCTGCTTGGTTGGGGGGGTTGGACTAGATGACCTACAAGATCCCTTCCAACTCTGTTAATCTCGGGTATGAAATCCGCGTCTACACAGCGGACAGTTGAATGCCTTGGCTCATAGAACATTTTTTTTTTGTCCTTGAAAACTGCACGCAAGAGAAAAACAGCAAGAAATCACGTGTAGAAGTAGAGTAAGGGGCAGGGAGAGAGTGCTGAATTTAACTAACGTGAATTAAAATTAACTTCGGAATTTGGGGGAAGTTGGAAGGATTTTTCTATCTAACAAGCTGGCACATCTGACCTTTTGTATCATGATTTATGTCTCTTTGTAAACTTAGTCCTGGTGGGTGGGTTTTGTGCAAGTTGGCAAAACTTTACATCAAAGTTAAATAGAAACAGAACATCTCAAAATGTTCTTTTTTCCTGCATGTTTTTCTTTTAGTAGTTTTTTTTAAAGGTGGGGTTTATATATACAGTATATCGTATATAATATATATCGTATTTTTAGAATACACACACATATATATATGACATGGTGGCTCAGTAGCTAAGACGCTGAGCTTGTCGATCGAAAGGTCAGCAGTTCAGCTGTTCGAATCCCTAGTGCTGCGTTAACGGGGTGAGCTCCCGTGACTTGTACCAGCTTCTGCCAACCTAGCAGTTCGAAAGCATGTAAAAAATGCAAGTAGAAAAATAGGGACCACCTTTGGTGGGAAGGTAACAGCGTTCCGTGTGCCTTTGACGTTGAGTCATGCCGGCCACATGACCACGGAGACGTCTTCGGACAGAGCTGGCTCTTTGGCTTTGAAACGGAGATGAGCACCGCCCCCTAGAGTCAGGAATGACTAGCACATATGTGCGAGGGGAACCTTTACCTTTACCTATCAGAGCAGGGGGTTGGACTAGAAGACCTCCAAGGTCCCTTCCAGCTCTATTCTGAATAACACAATCTATGTGCAGCCCTTTGACTGCTCCTGTTAATGGCGAGGAGATCAGGCAGAGATATCCATCCAGGCAAAGGGTAAGAATCACACTTTCTGTTTTTTGATCACAAGAAAACGGAGGGCCATTCCTGCCTTTTTTTTACAACTCCGATTGTGCACAATTGTGCAATTCTTTTTTACAACAAGGAAAGTTATTGCCTATTAATAAGTCATGGATTAGTGTTCTTGGCGGAGGAGGATGACATCAATGCTCAGCTTCAGAAAAAAAATCCCCTGTATGTAGAAAATTAACTCGTGGTGTAGAGCCTCACCACCCACCGTCCCCGAGAACTGGCTGTCAAGATTTTGGGTAGTGTAGGAAGTTAGCACCCTCCCCTCTCCTAGAAAAATGAAATATTTTAGGAAATATTAAAAGGGCAGAATATTTCTCCTAAAAGGGAGGCAGAAACTCACCCCCCCACCTTTGTCAATGGGCCATTAAGGCCTGGGCCAGTCCATTCTACATAACAAAGATCTACCTCCTTCAGGCAGAGCTATAGTAGGAATTGCCCAAAGCCCCTTTCATTACATCATCACCCAGCAAGGCTCAACCAAGCTCGGGACTCAAAAACACAACCTACAAAGTTACCTCTGCATGGCCCCATGGGAGTCTGACAACCAATCAGAATACAAGCTCAAATTCAAAAGCCCAGAGAGGGCGTAAAATTCAGGCACTCTCAGCATCTCCTCCCCTTTTTTCTTCTTCTTCACCCAAGATCTTCAAGACATGTGATCCTGTCCACCCTTAAAACTATCTTTCCAAGCAGCCACCATGTTTCCGGTGTCTTTCTCCACACTTGGAACTGAACCCAGAAGGCCATTTCTTCCAACAGTAGCAAATCTATCTCTCCAGCACGTGTCTTCATGTGTGAGCTTGTGCCCATTTTAACTTATACCATTTAAAAAAGCAAACATAAAGTTCTTTGCATTTAGGTTAAAATAAATAAATGTTTTTGCATCTTGCACAGAAACCCCGGACCTCACTTTGATTCTTGCAATGAGTACTTACCAAATTGTGGTGTGTGTGTTTTAATACTCCGTTGCACAATATGTAACAAAGAGAAAAGCATGGAATAGTGGCTATGATGTTGGAATCGGCCTGGGAGAGATATCCATGCTTCTCTCCTTCACTCAACCATGGAGGTGACTGGGTGACTTTGAGCCCATTTTTCTCTTGCAGCCCAACGGAGATACAAACAGGATCATTCACCCCACACATGCCAGCTAGCTTCAGTTTCACAAGGAAATGTTAGACAGATATAAGATAATATTTATTGTCATTTTTTTTTCTGTGAACACATCGGCACACATTAAAAAAGGAAATTCGAATGCCCGCTCTCAAAAGAAAATAAGCCAAAATGTTGAAAAATATGAAAATGGAAATATATATACCGTATTTTTTGGTGTATAAGATGCACCTTTCCCCCCCCCCAAAAGGGGGTGAAAATTTAGGTGTGTCTTATACACCGAATGTAACCCCGCCCACCCACTGACCCCCACCTTTTGGTCTCTGCCTCCCAGCAATTTACTTCCTCGCAGCAAGCAGCAAGAAGAAACAGCCCATTTCAGCTTCAGCACAGCCTAATTAGCACAAGTTGATTGGGTCCGCCTCCCGACTCTCAGCTGTTTTGCTCTCAGCTGTTTTGTGCGGGCCTCTGTTGCTTGCTGCAAGGAGGTAAAATTGCTGGAACAGATTTTTTTTCCCCCTTGTGCTAATCAAGCTATGCTGAAAACGAAAATGAAAGTAAAGCAGGCTGTTTGCTGCAAGGAGGCAAAATTGCTGGGAGGCAGAGGCAGATTTCTTTTTCTTGTTTTCCTCACCAAAAAAGATAGGTACGTTTTATAGTCCGGTGCATCTTATACTCCAAAAAATATGGTATATTTATATATAGTAAATTTATTTATTTATACACCATTCCAATCAAGGTGACTTAAGGTACCAGGTAAAAAGCAGGAGACTGTTGCGTTCTAGTCCTGCCTTAGCCAGGAAAGCCAGCTGGGGGACTTTGGGTCAGTCACTCTTATTCAGCCCAACTCACCTCACAGGGTTGTTGTGGGGAAAATAAGGAGGAGGAATGTCCCTTGGATATCTTTGCCATCTTGAGTTATTTGTAAAAAATAATTAAGACAGGATACAAATAAATAAAGTGATGCTTAAAACTGAAAGGACATTTTGGGATTATTATTATTTTTTAATTTGTGTAATGCACGATGCCACCCTAAACACATTTAAAGAAATAAGGACAAAATAGACAATTTCACAACTCTAAATCATTATCCCTGAGGAGTGAGAGTGCTCAGCGTATCCTACCTTCCTTCCCCTCCTTAACTATAGCTTAAATCCTAAAGTTATCCCATTTCCAATCAGGATCATACTGATGTTCACACGAGGATCGTGGAAGATTTTTTCGTTTAGCTGATGAATATGCTGGGCTGCGCGATCACTTTTGCCTGGTTTAAGTACTTTTCCCGATACCAAGACCTGTTAGAAAACAGAGAGTAAACCATACAGAGCATGCAGGATTCACGCCATGTATTACAACACTGTTACATTGGAGAGAAGCGTCAGAGAAGGCCTGGAAACTCAAATGTAACTCTTGGCTGAGGCTCATTAAAATAGCTACCTCTTTTCTCAGGACTAAACCGCTAGGACAGTGATGGCTAACCTTTTTGCCATCGGGTGCCAGGAGGGGGGGTTTGCACGCGTGTGTGCCCACACCCATAATTCTATGCACCCCTCCCCCACACATGCACGTGCGACCCCCCCTCCCCCCTGCTCCTGCACACAGTGGCCCGGTAGGCCCGTTTTTCTTTCTCACCTGGCTCCAGGGCCTCTCTAGGAGTCTGGGGAGGGTGAAAACGGCCTTCCCCACCTCCCTGGAGGTCCTCCGGAAGCCAAAAACACCCCGTTTGGTGGGACCGGAAGTTGTCAAATGGGGTGTTTTTGGCCTCCGGAGGACCTCTGGGTGGGGGGGAAGGCTGTTTTCACCCTCCCCAGACTCCTAGAGAGGCCCTGGAGCCAGGTGAGAAAGAAAAATGAGCCTTCCCCACCTCCCCTAGGCCCTCCGGAGGCAGGAAACAGCCTGTTTCCCTACTTCTGGTGGGCCCAGAAGGCCTGAAAATCACCTGGCCGGCGCACGCATGCACTCCAGAGCTGAGCTCGCATGCCCACTGATATGGCTACGTGTGCCACCTGTGGCACGCATGCCATAGGTTCGCCATTACAGCGCTAGGATATCCGTGTTCTGCTGCAACCACACAAACCTGGAAACAGTTCTGGGCAGTTTAGTAAGGTGCAGGCAATTGGGGCCTCTACAATCTGTCTGTTCCAAACTGCTGCCTTGCCCTACCCTTGCATGACTAAGTTTACAATTGGACCTTTGTTTTATGAATCACCCTGGCTAAAGCAAAGATTCCATACAGTCCGGGAGGTTTATTACAAAGTCAGGGCGGGCTGCACTGCAACTTTAATCCTCAAATATTGCGATACTGCTATCATGCCACCCCTAATCCGTCTTTTCATTACACCAGACATTCCCATTTCCTGTTCTTCATTTTAGCCTCCAGCCCCCTAATCATCTTTGTTGCTCTTCTCTGCACTCTTTCCAGAGTCTCCACATCTTTTTTACATCATGGCGACCAAAACTGGATACAGCATTCCAAGTGTGCTCTTACTAACTAAGGCTTTGTAAAGCGTTACTAGGCCTTCATGTGATCTTGATTCTATCCCTCTGTTTGTTTGTTTGTTTGTTTTATTAAATTTATATACCGCCCTACTCCCGAAGGACTCAGGGCGGTGAACAGGCACAAAATAAAATACATAAATACAAAAGTTAGAAACATAATTAAAACCAAATTAAATAATTTAGCCCAAGACAATTAAAAATCCCAATAATTTAAAACAAATTAAAATTTCAATTTAAAAATTTAAAAGAAAGGGGAGAAAATTAGGCCAGGCCGGCTTGCTGGAATAGGAGGGTCTTAAGAGCACGGCGGAAAGTGTGCAGATCCGGGATCCTCCGTATCTCCGGGGGGAGCTCATTCCAGATAGTGGGTGGCCCCACAGAGAAGGCCCTCCCCCTGGGGGCCGCCAGTCAACACTGCTTGGTTGACGGCACCCGGAGGAGCCCCTCTCTATGAGAGCGTACCGGCCGGTGGGAGGCTGTTTGTGGTAGTAGGCGGTCCCGCAAGTACCCAAGTCCTAAGCCATGGAGCGCTCTAAAGATGGTGACCTTTAAGGTGTTCTTATTCATGTGTTATGCGTTAGGGAGGGTCCACGCACCGCCCCCCCCGTGCCCCATTTTGGGCCTAGTAGGTCTCCCTGGACTTACCTGGGAGCCAAAATGGGGCATGTGGGGATTCCTGGAAGGGGCGAGGTGGGGCGGGGCCAGCCAGCCAGCAATTTAACTATCAGTTCGTCCGAACCGGCCCAAACCAGCTGAATCCCACCTCTGTTCCCACCTCTTGGTCCGTGGACCGGCACTGGGCCGTGGTATGTCAGAAACCGGGCCGGGCAAACAAGCAAAGCCCCATTTGAGGGATGCAGGTAGCACATGAAACCAGGCCCCCTTCAGTCCACAGAAATTCCTCTCCCCACAGAACTGGATGTCAGCACTTCAACCTGCATTTATTCTAGTGCTGACATAAGGAGGAGAAGCGAAGGCGTCTGGAAAGGGACGGCTGACTTTTCACCTACTTATTTTCCCTGGAGATAATGTTTCCGAGGAGATGAGATGGGAGGGGGGAATTCCTTTGAGTTGGAGTAGATTAGGGGTAGAATGACTTGGAAGATGGCCAATGAGTGCAGGGGAGTGGGTAACGGAAAGGGAGGGTTTTGGGGCTGGATGTCAGTGTTGGCTTCGACTGTAGTCGGGTTTAGAATGCCATGCTTAATAAATAGGAGTTTTCCTTCAAAGACTGTTTGAAATGCAATTTATTTGAGACGACCTCGAAACTTGACACTGGCCCTTTGCTCAAAAGAACAGAACAGAACAACACAGATGGAAGGGACCTTGGAGGGCTTCTAGTCCAACCCCCTGCTCAGGCTGGGGGCAACTGCCTTGTATCACAGAGTCCAGGTGAGGCAATGCTAAGTTTGCTTTCCTAGATGTTTTGCCTACTGCTGCCATATTTCTACTCCAAGGTCATTACTCTGATTTCTCCTTTGAGTCTCGATGATTCTGTCATCAACCAAGCTCAGATTTTGGCATGGGATGCCTCTTAATCCAGAGTCTAAATGGCGCCACACAAAAAGGTGGGAAAAGCCGCCATGTTCATGGATAAGTTGCACTGGTGCTTTTTCCAAAAGGCAACTGGACTTCCTTGGGGTTTTTTTCCCCCTTGAAAATGTTTTGCTTCTCATCCAAGAAGCTTCTTCAGTTCTTCAGAGAACTTCGAAGCTTCTTGGGTGAGAAGCGAAACTTTTTCAAGGAAAAAAAAAATCAAGGAAGTCCAGCTGCCTTTTGGAAAAAGCACTTTTGGGACAAACATGACCTGGATGATGGAGCATCTTGGGGCAAAGGCTGTAGGATGTTCAACCGTGCAAGGATCCAAAAACCAAAGGCAGAGATACAGAATGGGAGACGTGGCTTGGTGGCAGCCCACATGAAATGGATCTACTGTAGTGACCAAAATTGTGGAAACCTTTTGGGAAAAGTGTATTTTCTAAAACTAGCTAACAACACCACTTTTTGGGGGGAGTAGTACCATAAAATTATATATCAGTGGAAAGATAATTTAATCAAGAATGTAATGCAATAACTTTTATGAAGGATTTGCTGTTAGAATAGCAGTTACAGTAGAAAGAAGAAAAGTGAAACACGTAGAAAAAATGAAATATACAAAAATGATCACCATAGAAAAAACGAGATATACAAAAATTATCACCATAGAAAAAATGAGATATACAAAAATTATGACGTCAGTTAATACTTTGTTGGATCACCTTTAGCATGAGTTACGGCCTTCTGACATCTTCCCATGGAGTGAACCAAGTCTTTTAGTTCTGCAGCTGTTCTAATGTGAAACCAAGATTGAATGATGGCTTCTATTAACTGGGTTTTATTGCTGGATCGCTTCTGACTAACAGGTTTCTTTAGTTGGCTCCAGTAGTAGGTTGCCCCCGGTTTGCACCGGTTCTATAGAACCGGTAGTAAAACCGGTGGGAGGCTCCGCCCACCGATCCCGACATCATCAAAACTCTTCTGCACACGCGCAGCCCCGTTGTGAACCGGTAGTAAAAGTAAATAGAACCCACCCCTGGTCAGTTCCATAGATTTTCAATTAGGTTAAGGTCTGGGCTATTCCCAGGCCATTCCAGCAGTGGAATATGATTAACTTGAAACCCCCCCCCCCCCCAAAAAAAAAAAGTGGTGTTATTCGCCATCAAATCTCAAAAATACACTTTTCCCAAAAGGTTTCCACAATTTTGGCCACTACTGTAGGACTATTTATTTATTTATTTTATTAGTCATATTTCTATGCTGCCCACTCTCCAAGGACTCTGGGCGGCTTACACCAAAGACAGTATACTAAATAGCATATTGCCCCCAACAATCTGGGTCCTCATTTTATCCACCTCGGAAGGATGGAAGGCTGAGTCAACCTTGAGCGGGTGAGATTTGATCCGCTGATCTGCTGAACTAGCAGTCAGCGGAAGTAGCTGCAGTACTGCACTCTAACCACTGCGCCACCTCGGCTCTTATCATGGGCTGAACTTGATCTTAAGCAACCGAATAGAACCATCAGTGTGATCTGGGTTGGATTAAGAGACACCCTGCATTCCTGCCTTGTCTTGAATCCTGGGCTGGTTGGATTCATCTATTTCTGGGCTTAGAAGAAGGTAGATGATTGGGTATCAATTGACTGATTCATTTATTTAGGTTCTACACTGGTACAATCCAGGGACTTGCAGTGGTAGGCAAAGATAATGACCAAATAAATGAAGATAAAATAACCTCAATACAATAATAGCAAAATAACATGAATGAGTGAGTGAATGAATGAATGAATGAATGAATGAATGAATGAATGAATGGGTATGGCAAGGCCTAGAGGTCCGAAAGTTCCTTTAAAAAAAAGGAGATTCAGAGAGAATATTAGGAGGAATTTCTTAAGATTTGCTTTGCATAGAAAAGTGGAGGGACTCCTCCATCCTACGCTGGATTTACAAATAGGTTTGTTTAGGGTGGCTTAATGAATCCTCTTACTGAGCAGGGGGTTGGACTAGATGACCTCTAGATGATCTAGCATTAACATAAGATTATTAGCATTTAGAGGATCTTGTAGGTCTGAAAAGAATTGGTTCTTCTGAAGGAGAAGAAAACTAGATTCCAAAGAATGTTGTTTTGGATTTGGGCCTCAGGCTGAACCTTCTACTCTGTTTTTCTTGAGAATATGCTTTATGATTGACCCCTTCTCCCCTCTGGCCAGTGACCCAAAAGAAGGGTGGATAAAACAGGTTCTAATCCAGAAAAGCCACCAAGTGAAAAAGTGTTCCCACTTTTTCTGAAGTACTTACGTTGTCAAGAACTAATATCTTCCCTTTTTTTATGAGCCGTAAACATTTTTCATAGTAATCGTTGTAACTCTCTTTGTCCGCATGGATGAAAGCCAGGTCAAATGTTCCAGCTTCACCATTGGCCAGAAGTTCCTCTACAAAAACACACACACACATACACACACAAATCAGAATAAGTTTTTGGTTTTTTTTTTAAATGCAAAAATTCCCTTCTGTCCACCTTCTCTCTGTCGTTGTACTCTTTTTTTAAAAAATTTTTTTTTTATTAAACAGTTTTTAAATTTTTTTTGACATTTTTCTTCTTTACAACATTTCCACAACCATTATATATCCATTTTCCCACTCTTACTTCAATTTATCTTTATCTACACATGTGGTTCCATTATTTTTTATACATCATAATATATTCATATACTAAATTACAATCATTCATTATGTGTCATTTCCATTTATACAAATTTGTTACTAATTTCTAACTCCTATATTTTCTTCATTCAAACTTTCCTTAACCTTTACACCTATCCTCTAACCATTTATACCATTCATTCCATACCATATAATACTCTGTTTCTTCTTTATCTTTTATTTCTTTTGTAAGTCTATCCATCTCTGCACAGTCTAGAACTTTCCTTATCACATTTTCCTCTGATAGTTTATTGTTATTTTTCCAATTTTGTGCATTATACATTATTCTCGCTGCTGTTGTAATATGTCGTCGTACTCTTATCTGCAGTGGTTAAAAGGCAGTATTGCAGGCTAATTCTGCCCACTGCCAGCAGTTCGATCCTGACGGGCTCAAGGTTGACTCAGCCTTCTATCCTTCCGAGGTGGGTAAAACAAAGACCCAGATTGTTGGGGGCGATGTGCTGATTCTGTAAACTGTTTAGAGGGGGCTGTAAAAGCACCGTGAAGCGGTATATAAGTCTCAGTTCTATTACTATTCGGACAAGTCCAACCTGCAAAGGGAAGGGGACGAGGAACGATAAGAATCCTGAATTCCAATTTCCTCTTAAGCCAAACCAACCTCGCTATTCAGACATGACTCTATCTGTGAAACCACAGTTTTTGGGGATGGAGTTCCCATCTCTCCCAAAGGTGCTTTTTCAGGAGGCAACTGATTCAACAATCAGTTAGCCCCCCTCCCCACACTCTATCCTGTCCTTTATTTCCTGGTTTGTAGCTCATCTCAATCACGTGGTACAGCTCTAAAAATTGGAAAGAAGAAATGATACCTAGGATGAAGAAATTGTTAGGAAAATGTTGGGACTGTGCCGAAATGAGTAAACTGACATTTGAAATAAGAGAGCAGGAAGAAAAACAATATTATTTGATATGGGATCTATTTTACCATTGGGTAGATAATAAAAAATGTTGATATGTAAGTAAATGTTGAAATACTTTAAACGATGATACAACCGATATATTTTATATAAGAATAAATTTTGGATATGTAGTGATATTGTGAAGAGAGGAGAGGGCACTAGGGATGCAAACCGACCGATGTACTGTCTGTACTTGATTGAATGAATTAATGTTTATATGTTTTATTTTTATTTTTTTGTTTTAAAATTAAAAAATGATTTGGCAAAAAAAAAATCATCACGTGGTACAGCTGATTCCCCCTCCTAATTGTTGTACTTACTGTCTTGGAAGGTAAGCAGCTGAGCTTCTAAATGCTCCATTTTCAGCGCTGCGTGCAAATCGCGCACTCACCAAACCGATTGTTAAACTGGCAGCATCCCACCACTGGAGGGAGAGTTGATGCCTGAATAGACACCCCCCCCAAGCCCCCCAGCCCTTCCAGTCGAACCCCTTTGCTTCCACCTACCTAACGTTTCAATGGCTGGTTTTATCCTTAGATCGATCTTACGTAGCACCCCGGCCTGGAAGGAAACAAAACAGGTCAAAGGTTTCACGAGGAAGGGATCGGCCACATTTTGAGGTCCCAGATGCTCAGCCTCCCCATCTTGTGTGTGTATTTGTTTAGGTTTGTTTGTGTAGACCTGTGATGGAGAACCTATGGCACGTGTGCCAGAGGTGGCACACAGAGCCCTCTCTGTGGTGGCATGCATGCCATCGCCAGCGGCTCTCCTTGTTTACGGCACACATGCTGGCCAGCTGGTTTTTACGAGTGCTGGAGCGCCGGAAAATGGCCTGAAAAATGGCCAAAAAACAAGCTGTTATTCCAGTTGTTTTCAGGCCATTTTCCAGGCCATTTCCAGGCCCAAAACAGCCCGAAAATGGTCCGAAAAATGGCCCAAAACAGCCTGGAAACAGCCTGGTTTTGGCCATTTTTTCAGGCCATTTTGCGGCTGTTTTTTGGGCTTTTTTCAGGCCATTTTGGGGCACAAAACGGCCTGAAAAACAGCCTGAAAACAGCCTGAAAAACTGCCAAAAAAGACATGCACATACCACCCAGCTGGTCTTCAGGTTTCCAGTGCTCACACATACATGTGCATGCACACACATACTAGTTTGGGCACTCAGTGCCGAAAAGGTTCGCCATCATTGGCGTAGACAATCCATTGAGGTGGTAGCATTTCAAGAAAGGAACTGAATTTTTTAGTAGTCTATTTTTTAATGGGTCTAAAGTAGGGAAATAGCACTGCTTCAAGAACTCTGTGGGTGGGATTTATCCTACTCTTGAAAAGCCCTCTTAAATGTCCAAAAGATCCCCAAATGATAATTTTAAAGTGTTTAAAGTGTTTAAAGGAGTGTTTGAGGAGCGGAGTAAAAGACTACACACAGTCCTCAATTTAAGACCACAATTGGGCCCAAAATTTCCATTGCTAAGCAAGACACTTCTAAAGTGAGTTTTGCCCCATTTAATGACCTTTCTTGCTACCGTTGTTAAGTGAATCACTGCAGCTGTTAAGTTAGTCACATGGTTGTTAAGTGAATCTGGCTCCCCCCATTGACTTTGCTTGTCAGGTTGCAAGAGGGGATCACATGACCCCGGGACATTGCAACCGTCATAAATATGTGTCAGTTGCCCAAGCATCGGAATTCTGATCACATGACCACGGGGATACTATTAATGCAATATAAACATATATATTAACATTGATAAATCAAATGAGATCATCGTAGTTTTTAGAAAGAGCTGGCATGGTCATACTCAAGGATCAGTATCAAGGATGCAGCTGTAGAGGTGGTCAACGGTATTAAGTATCTGGGGGTGTAGAAAAGTAACAATCTGAACTGGTCTCTCCACACGTCATCCTCAGTGAAGCGTGCAAACCAATGTCTGCATTTCCTGCGTCGGATGAGGAGAGGACATCTTTCTCCTTCTGTCCTGGCCACAGAGGTATGATTGAGAGCGTTTTACCAAACTGCATCCCTGTTTGTGGTTTGGTGGCAGCAATGCCTCAGACAGAAAGTCCATACAGAGAGTGGTGAGTACAGCGGAGAAAATTATAGGAAGCTCACTTCCTGTTGCTCTGGATACTGTGCTTGGAGGTCAAAACATCATTAGAGACCCCACACATCCACTCCATGGCCTGTTTCTGTTGCTCCCCTCTGGGAGGAGATTTCGAAGTATTTCTAGCAGGACTACCAGTTTCTGTAACAGCTTTTTTCCCAATGCCATCTGTCTGGTAAACTCGCAAGATTCGCTTTTCTTGCCACGTACATGTATACATCCGAACTAGACTGTGTTGTTTCTCCGTGTCATATAATATATCTGGATATATGCATAATTTTGTATTTATTTTGATATACCCTGTTTCCCCGAAAATAAGACATCCCCTGATAATAAACCCAATCGGGCTTTTGAGTGCATGGCAATAAGGCCAAGCGCTTATTTCAGGGTTCAAAAAAATATAAGACAGGGTCTTATTTTCGGGGAAACACGATATATATGTAGTGTATATTGGAGGTGGTGACCTTTTGAGAGCTGTACGCAATGAAATTTCACTTTAATGCATGCCGATTAGGGTACATTCAAAGTGACAATAAAGTTATTGTCTAAGAAGTAATATATCCGAGTAGGTGATGAAACATGATCTAATTAAATAATATGATCTTGTTAGATAATAAGAATTCTAGGAGAGATGGCAGTTGCGGGATGAGAGAGATGGGGTCACGGGACAGATTGTCAGCATTGGCTTCGATTGTGGTGCTGCGCCCACCGCCTTGCAATTTTGACACAGTTTATGGGCGTCCCTGAGAATAATCAGGGGGAGAAAGGATTAACTACCGTAAATCCATAACAGCACCGTTCTTCTAATCAGATTTGTGGATCCCTGCAAACTGACGAATCAACCGAATGTCAGCAAATATTAATACCACATCCTCTCTCATCCCTTGATTAAGCCCCAGTTCTCTGAGTGACTTACTCTACCTCTTTCCACACTGGCTTTCCGATACTGGCCAAATCTTCATTGATCTCGCAGGCAACGATTCTGCCATCTTCTGGTAGGACTAGAGCCATGCTTAAAGTATTGTACCCAGCAGAAACTCCTACAGAGAAATTACAAAAACACGGCTGAAGGGAGTTTTAATGTTGAAGCATCCCTGGCCTCGAGTTGCCATAGGCAAAGGGGATGGGAAACCGATGAAGCAACATGGCAGCTAAAGACAGGAGCACATTCCAGACATATCTTTCTCAAGGCTGTCCCAAGGTTATCCACAGCGGCCGGAGGGGAGTGATCTCTACAATCCACAAATCACTGTTGGTGAATGTGATTGATGACACACCCTGGGGGGAGGGGGGAAAACAGGGTCATGATTGGGGTGTAAATTATGTGGAGTCAAAGTTGGCTTCACTTGGAATGTGCCGACATGAAGCTCCTAATAAATAACTGGATTTCTTTTGAAACTTGGCTCATGATTTAATTAGGGCATCCGTCGGAACCCTGACATCCGGTTTCCGAATGAATAAGAACGTACAGGTAGTCCTCCACTTACGACCGCAATCGGGAGGGTTTTTTTTTTAAGTGAGATGTGCTCAAGTTTACAACCTTTATTGCCATGGTTGTTAAGCGAACCAATGCGGTTGTTCAGTGAATCATGCAAATCCTTAAGCAAACCCAGCTTCCCACATTGACTTTTCTTGTCAGACGTCGGCTGGGAAGATCACAAATGGGGATCACGTAACCCTGGGTCACATGCACCTGTCGAAAATACAGGCCAGGGTGCCCGAATTTTGATCTCGTGACCATGAGGATAGCAATAGCAAGAGCCTTGGTAGTACAGTGGTCTAAAGCACCCTGTTATTAAAACCAGCTGCCTGCAATTACTGCAGGTTCAAATCTCGCCAGGCTCAAGGTTGACTCAGCCTTCCATCCTTTCTAAGGTAGGTGAAATGAGGACCCAGTTTGTGGGGGCAATAAGCTGACTTCGTATAAATATACAAAAGGATGAAGGCTATTGCTTAGTGCACTGTAAGCTGCCCTGAGTCTCCGGAGAAGGGCGGCATATAAATCAAATTAAAAAAAAAATAGCAACAGCACTTAGACACTGCTTCACAGTGCTTTACAACCCCTCTCTTAGCTGTTTATAGAGTCAGCATATTGCCCCCAACAAGCTGGGTCCTCTTTTTACTGACCTCGGAAGAATGGAAGGCTGAGTCAACCTTGAGCCATCAGGATCGAACTACTAGCAGTGGGCAGAATTAGCCTGCATTCTAACCACTGTGACACTATGGTCTTAAATGTGAGGACTGATCACAAGTCACGCTTCAGTGCCATTGTAACTTCGAGCAATCACTAAACCAAAGTCAAGGACTTATTTCATACCCCATTCTTCTTAACAGTAAAGTAATGTCAGCTTTCTCCTCTAACACTCTAGCTCGGGGGTGTCAAACTCAAGGCCTGGGGGCTGGATCCGGCCTATGGGATGCTTAAATCTGGCATGCAGGTTGCCCTGGAAACGGCAAAGAACTGGCCCATGATGCCTCTGCCAGTGAATATGGAGCTCGGGAAGGGTATGGGCAGCCCTCCCGAGCTCTGTTTTCACTAGCAGACGGTTGTAGGAGGGCAAGGCAGCTGAAAATGGAGTTCGGGAGCCCGTTTTATCTGGCACAGCACTCGGGTCACCACATGTGCCCACGACACGAATGTCGGTGCCCACTCTGGCCACGCCCACTCTGCCCCCCCCGGTCAAACAAAACCCTGATGTGGCCCTCAATGAAATCAAGTTTGACACCCCTGGTCTAGCTCTTAAGTTCTGAAGAACCCCAAAGAGTAGACACTTATCCTCAAAAGAAAAGGATGGTGTCAGCTATCCCACTCAGTCATCTAGCAAAGAAAGACTCCTGGCCATTTGTTTTTGCCAAGCGTCTCCTTTAACTGAAGTTTAAATGGTTGCAGAAGTAGCATAAGCTGAGGATTTCCCACGCCAACGATGCAAAGTAAATTAAAGTAAGTAAAGTAAGGGACTTGGTGGCTCAGTGGCTAAGACGCTTGTCAACCGAAAGGTTGGTAGTTCAGTGGTTTGAATCCCTAGTGCTGCGTAACGGGGTGAGCTCCTGTTACTTGTCCCAGCTTCTGCCAACCTAGCAGTTCGAAAGCACGTGAAAAATGCAAGTAGAAAAATAGGGACCACCTTTGGTGGGAAGGTAACAGCGTTCCGTGCGCCTTTGGCATTGAGTCATGCCAGCCACATGACCATGGAGACGTCTTTGGACAGCGCCGGCTCTTCGGCTTTGAAACAGAGATGAGAACCACCCCCTAGAGTCAGGAATGACTAGTACATATGTGTGGGGGAACCTTTACCTTTACTTTTAAGTAAAGTTATCTGTAAATGTCCAGTTAGGTGTTTGTATATTGTTTAGGGGACAGGTTCTCAGTTCCCAGCTCTGCATGCCAATGGTTGACCTTGGCTGGCTGAAGCTTCTCATAAGGCTCAACTGGGCTTCCATCCCCCCCTTTTTTCCTTATACTCCAATCTTTCCCTCCCCCACTCCACCCCCATTGCTAATGTCAGGTTGTCAGCTCATGAAGCTTGGACAGGAGGAGATGCAGCCGTGACAGATGGTTTAAAACAAACTGCCTTTTGATTTTATTTCGCCAAAGTGTGGAATTGGTTGCCACATCATACAGCTTAAAAATCAAAGAGGAGAGTTTGAGGGAAGGGACCAGTTGTAACCTGAGGACTACCGGTAGAAGAAGATGAGACTGTGACCTGCGGAGTAGCCAGTACCATTGTGGTACTGAATCCCGAATCTTCCTGGTTGTAGGCAGTCTCACTTACCTATCTCAATTACCTTTTTTGCTCCAACAAGCCTGATCAGGTTTGTCACCAACTGGGCCTGATCACAAGAGATCCACAGCTTTTTGCCAGGAGTAGAAGTTGCAGCCTAGAAAAAGCCAAACAGGGAGCCTTTTCACACGTTCTCCTGCAATTCCATGAACATCATCTCTGAAAGAACCTTAGTAAGTCTTGGGGGGGGGGGACCTCTGGAAACTGAGAAGTCCTGCATGACCTCTCTCTCTCTTCTTCTTGTGCCATGTCCGTCATCGGACGTTGGCGATCATGTTGGCAATCCTATTTTTGTCAACAGCTGTATGAAATAGTGCTGCTGAGTTTTGTCCTAACCACTCCCTAAGGTTTTGAAGCCATGATCATCTTCTTCTGCCTGGACCTCGTTTGCCTTCAATCTTTCTCTGGAGGATTAAGTGAAGGATGCCGTATTTTTCTGGGTGTCGCATCACCTGTCCAAAATACTCTAACTTTCGCTTTTTAATGGCTTTGATTATTTCCCTTTGCTTTCCCAAGCGGCTTATCACCTCCTCATTTGTGATTTTGTTAACCCAGTTTATACGTAACAGCCGCCTGTAAATCCACATTTCAAATGCTTCTAGTTTCTTCAAGTGGTTTTCTGTCAGAGACCAACTCTCTACTCCGTAGACCAGGATAAAAAAGATGTAACATCTGACAAGCCTGATTTTCAGTCTTAGGCTTATATTGTGACTATCCCACAATTCAATTTATTGTTTAATGCAGACCTGGATTCATAGGTCACACCAGGTCCTGTGGCTGTTTCCTGCCCATGAGATCGATCAGAAATTACAAATCATATATATATATGTTTAATTCGGTTTTATTCTGTTTTTAAATTTTGTATTTATGTGTTTTTATCTTGTGGCTGTTCACCGCCCTGAGTCCTTTGGGAGTAGGGTGGTATACAAATCAAATAAACTAACTAAACTAACTAACTATATCTACGCCATGACAAAATGGAAGGACACTTCGATTCCTACCATGGACGAAGTTGATGGAGTTGGCTGAAATCGTGAGAATGGACTATTTTGATTAAAGAAAAGAATATAAGTACTTTTGTTTCTGCATGGAGACCGCTTCTGAACTTTGTGCTTGAAGTGGAAATGAGTGAAATTTTGATTTTGGGTTTTACCAATTAGATTGATAGCTCTTTATAGAAATGGCTTGTTTATATTGTGAAAAAACAAAAATTTGTGATTAGATGTTAATGCAATAGAGAGTTGGAAGTCAATGCTTCTTTTTCTCTTTCTCTTATCCTTCCTCACTTCTCTTCCCCCTCTTCCTCCCCACTGTTATCCTATTTATTATTGTATTTTGTATCTTATTTTATCTTATAACTCAATAAAAAATGTTAAACTAAGTCTACGCCAGCCACACAAATACAACTGCATTAGTTTTATTTCGAAGGAGCCTGTTACTATCTTTTCAAGCTTATATTATATTATATATATTCTATTCCAGTGATGGCTAACTTTTTTGCCGTCATATGCCAAAAGCGGAGGGAACGCGGGGCGGTCGTGAGTGTCCGTGCCCACACCCATAATTCATTGCGCCCCACCCCGCACATGTGCGTGCGACCCCCCTGCACTCCCTTCACTTTTGACACGCGATGGTGGGCCTGCTAGGCCTGTTTTTCACCCTCCCCAGGCTCCAGAGGCTTTCTAGGAGCCTGGGGAGAGCGAAAACAGCCTTCCCCATCCCCCTGGAGGCCTCCGGAGGCCGGAAACAGCCTGTTTCTTGACTTCCAGTGGGCCTGGAAGGCCCGAAAATCAGCTGGCTGGCGCGTGCATGCACACTGGAGCTGAGCTAGGGCAACACTTGCGTGCCCACCAATACGGCTCTGTGTGCCACCTGTGGCTCGCGTGCCACAGGTTCGCCATCTTGGTTCTATTCTATTCATATAATATAATTCATATAATTATATTCACCTGATAATCACCTCACATCCTGGACATAAATTGTTGGATTTTGTCAGCTTGGATCGACAGAGGCATTTAAAAGAAAAAAGCATCTGCCAATCAGGCAACTCAGCTGGGATCCTCAGAGTCTTTTGAAAGCATTTTTTACAACCTCTTCGCTCTGAAGAGGTTGTAGAAAAAATGCTTTTAAAAATAATAAAAAAAAGCCTCTGATGATTGTGCGGCTCAGCTGGGCATGGGGGGGGGCCAGGGATTTTTGCTACTGGTTCTCTGAACCACCCGCCTCTATCGCTACCGGATCGGGTGATCCGGTCCGAACCGGGAGCATTTCACCCCTGCTCTACACACCAGAACAACTAGACACAAGGACAGTTTTTCCCTGAATGCCATCACTCTGCTAAACAACTAATTCCCACAACACTGTTGAATTAACTACTAAGACTGTATTACTATTATTCTTCTCATCCTTCCTAGTATCTATCTCTTCCCACTTATGGCTATAACCATGTTGCTTGTACCTTTACAACTTATATTGTTTTTATTGTTTCCTCACCACAATGGAGCCCAAAATTTCTGCTGCTAAGTGAGACGTTTGTTAAGCAAGTCTTGCCCCATTTTACAACTTTTCTTGCCGCGGCTGTTAAGGGAATCACTGTCGGCATTAATTTAGTAATACGGTGGTTGTTTAGGGAAACTTGGCTTCCTTGTTGACTTTGTTTCTCAGAAGGTCGTAAAAAGGGGATCACGTGACTCCCACAGGACACTGCAACCGTCATAAATGTGAGTCGGTAGCCGTGTTTGAATTTTGACGATGGGGATGCTGCAATGTTTGTAAGTGTGAAAAACGGTCATAAGTCCCTTTTTAAAATGCTGTTGTAACTTTGAAATGGTCACTAAATGAGATGTCATTAAGTCCAGGACTACGTTCTGACCTAAGCTCCCTTAACAAGCAGGAGGAAGGACTTGGTCCCGGTTTTGACGGGACCAATTTACGTGACTGTGAATTACGTTCATTCACAGTCAGCAAGGCTTGTCCAAACAGCTTTTCAAAGGAATATTTCTCAACACACCTTATCTCGCTGGGAAAGCTGCCAGATAACTAGTTTCCAACCACAGACAAGGCAAAACTTGGCACAGAGTCTTTTCAAGTCATGAACAGAACTTTCCACTTTGGCAACGGCCGACTGAATGAATTGTTTCCTGCAAAAGCCCCCTCCCGTTCACTCCTCTTTTGTTTCCTATGGGAGGGGCCAATCACCTCCAAGGTGTGGCTTTACTCCTGAGTCGACCCTGCTTTCTTAGTTGTCCTTGTCTTCTGGCAGCTCTGCAGTTGCACACATTGGGAACAGGCTCCAGCTGTTCCTCTGCCTCACTGCTGTCTAGCTCCCTCTCTGCCTCTGACGTAGAGCCCTCGCCCGAGCTTTCCCCAGCCCCAGGGCTGGCCCATGTCCCTCCCCAACCTCCTCACTGTCCGACTCTGCTGCCAGCTCCGCAGGCCGCCGGCGGGCCACGACAGACTGGCTGTACATTAGTCTACGAAGCCGGAGTCTTCGGAGAGGGGTGGCATATAAATTTAATTAATTAAATTAAATTAAATTATTTGGGATGTCTACTCTTAATTCTTCCACACACAAGGGCTGAAAAGACCCCCCCCCCAAGTACAGAGGAGATGGAGTTAATTTGGAGGGTTCATGAATCCTGGGTTGATCCCCCTGAGGAAGAGACCATCAGAAGTTGGTCAGATCCATTGACAACCGGGACTCACCAATCTCAGCTTCTTCAAAAGTGGATGCTCTCGTACCGAATGATCCAAGACGTATTTGTGTAGGTTGCCAGTCCCTTGCAAGAAGCCGCATGAATGGCCGGAGGTGCCAAAGGCGAATAAATCTGACCCACGGTATCTTCTGCCTTTCAAAAGCAAACCAATCCATCCTCAGTCATATCATAAATACTTTAAATATTTGTTAATATTTCATTCAACCCATGTTGCCCTCAGGAAGTTTCTTCCTTAAGCTTGGACATGCGCAGTAGCTCAGAAATCACAAGATAGTCTTATCTCTGTTACTACAGAGACGTGCTAAAGTTCTCTTGGCAGGCTACCGTAAGTCTTAGGATGGAAGCTCGGCTGACAAACACATAACGCAGTGACATTCCCTCCATCATTTTCCTGTCTCACAACTGTCCTCTGGCTCCTGGACCTGTGTCCTGGACTTTCTTAGCGACGTGATCCAGACATGCTCAATCACCCTTTGGAGATACCTAGCTCACTTTAAAAACTTAAGTGGGATGGGAGACCACCCAGAGATGCAGCGGCAGCCAAAAAAAGCCAATGCACTCCAAAGCTGCATTAAGAGAGGGATACAATCAAGATCAAGTGAGATACTAATACCAAGCCTTAGCAAAACCACACCTAGAGTCCTGCATCCAGTTTTGGTCACCACGCTATAAAAAAGATGTGGAGACTCTAAAAAGAATGCAGAAAAGAGCAACCAAGATGATTAGGGGACTGGAGGCTAAAACATACGAAGAACGGTTGCAGAAACTGGGCATGGCTAGTCTAGAGAAGAGAAGGACCAGGGGAGACATGATAGGAGTGTTTTCAATATTTGAGGGGCTGCCACAGAGAGGAAGGGGTCTATTTTCCAAAGCACCTGAAGACCAGACAAGGAATAATGGATGGAAACTGAACAAGGAGAGATTCAACCTGGAAATAAGAAGAAATTTTCTGACCGTGAGAGCAATCAACCCAAGGAACAGGAGTTGCCTTTAGAACTTGTGGGAGCTTCATCACTGGAAGCTTTCAAGAAGAGACTGGATTGCCATTTGTCAGAAATAGTGGAGGATCTCCTGCTTGGGCGGGGGGTTGGAGTAGATGACCTACAATACTGTTGATGAACCTTTTCGGCACCGAGTGCCAAAATGGGAGTGCGTGCATGCGCGCACCGGAAACCAGAAGAACAGCCTCCCAGTGCACATGCATCCGCCGGATGGCTGCTTTTCCGGTTTCCGGTACACGCATGTGCACCAGTCACTTGGTCTTCCTATTTCTGGCGCACAAAGAGCCATTGGATGGTGCGCATGCGTGCGAAGACCAGCTGGCCGGTGCGCATGCACACACCGGAAAGATGATGTCCCGGTTTCTGGCACATGCATGCACACCAGCTAGCTAGTTTTTGCACATGCATGCACACCAGAGACCAGGTGGACGGTGGCACATGCATGTGCTGGAAACCAGAAGAGCAACCGCCCTGAAGACCAGCTGGTTGGCGTGCCTGATCCCGAAAGAGCAACGGAAGAGTGACGGCTCGTGTGCCCGGAGAGATGGCTCTAACATAGGTTCGCCATCAAAGACCTACAAGATCCTTTCCAACTCTGTTATTCTGTATCTATCTTTGAAACGCTTGAGAAGAACACATTGAAATAAGCTAAGAAGAGTGGCTCTCGGGAACATCAGTCCTTGTTCACACAACATACTTATATCCTGGTTTCTGAACTGACCGGGGGGAGGTGGGAGAAGAGCTGAAAGTCATAGATCATACGGCTGGAAGAGACCTCTTCTAATCCAACCCCTCACCCTTAGCTAGGTGGCTCAGGGGCTAAGACACTGAGCTTGTCGATCAGAAAGGTTGGCAGTTCGGCGGTTCAAATCCCTAGTACAGGTCTCCTGCGTGAGCAGGGGGTTGGACTAGATCCGTGATGGCGAACTGATGGCATGTGTGCCACAGGTGGCACGAGTAGCCATATCGGTGGGCACGCGAGCTCAGCTCCGACGCGTGCCAGCAGTTGATTTTCGGGCCTTCTGGGCCCACCAAAAGTAGGAAAACAGGCTGTTTCCTGCCTCCGGAGGGCCTTGGGGGGTGGTGGGGAAGGCCCGTTTTTCTCTCCCCAGGCTCCAGAGCCTTTCTAGGAGTCTGGGGAAGGCGAAAAGGGCCTTCCCCACCCTCTGGAGGTCGGAAACGGCCCATTTGCCAACTTCCAGTGGGACTAGAAAGGCTCTGGAGCTGGGGGAGAGAGAAAACGGGCCTACTGGGCCATTGCGTGTCAGGAGCGGGGGGAGTCACGCACGCATGCGCGGGGGGCGGGACACATAGAATTATGGGTGTGGGCATGCACGCCCGTGACCCCCCACACGATCCCCACTCCTGGCACGCGATGGCAAAAAGGCTAGCCATCACTGGACTAGATGACCTCCAAGGGTCCCTTCTAACTCTGTTACTGTTACTATCCCTTGCTCAAGGCAGGAGTCCAAACCCCCCCCCCACCAAAACCAAAATGGCAATCTGGAATAAGTTAGCTCATTTTCCGCTGTTGTATCAATACAATACATTGAGTTCACCCATGACAATAACCTGTTAAAGCCTAACCAAAATGAACACCAAGCTTAGTGTGCTGTGTGAATCTTTTGCTAGAGGTACGCATGAGCACTTAAAAATATGTAATCTGAAACACGTCATCCTACCCAGAAGAGAAATTGTGATCACAGGGGTGTCAAACTCAAGGCCCGGAGGCCGGATCCGGCCAGTGGGGTGCTTAGATCTGACCCACGGGGCCACCGTGGAAACAGCAAAGGACCGACCCGTGGTACCTCTGGCAGCCAAAATGGAACTCACAAGGGCCCTCCTGAGCTCCGTTTCTGCTGGCAGAGGGTTGCAGGAGGCCGTTGCAGCCGAAACGGAGCTCAGGGTCCCTTTTTTGCTGGCAGAATGCTCCCCTGGCCATGCCCCCCCCAACTCCCCCCCCGAGATCAAACACAACTCTGATGCAGCCTTCAATGAAATCGAGTTTGACACCCCTGCCTTATCAGAAGATTAAGACGGATGGGACAACGGTAAAATCGTGTCTTAGGGAACTAAGTAGACTAATCGGGGCTTAGCCCAATCTACTCCAATCCTCCTAAGCAGAGTCACTGGTCACTGTGAAAGCACGGTGACGTTTTGATCACAGCTTGCCCCAGACAAAGCACTTTTTTTCAAAAGTTTGTTCCTATCACTTGCTTAAGGCAAAAAACCCCCAAAACCAAAACCTGCTTCTTTTGATCTGATTCTGCTTTGATGGCCACTCAAGACACAACGATGCACCTTCTCGGCAAAAATACTTAAGTGGTTTGCCCCAAACTTCTTCCAGCATTTTAAAGATTTCTCTATTTGGCCTTACAGCCTTGCATAACCGAGCCGAGGTGGCACAGTGGTTAGAGTGCAGTACTGCAGCTACTTCAGCTGACTGCTAGTTCAGCAGATCAGTGGATCAAATCTCACCGGCTCAAGGTTGACTCAGCCTCCGATCCTTCCGAGGTGGGTAAAATGAGGACCCAGATTGTTAGGGGGCAATATGCTATTTAGTATACTGTCTTTGGTGTAAGCCGCCCAGAGTCCTCGGAGAGTGGGCGGCATAGAAATATGACTAATAAAATAAATAAATAAATAAATAAATAAATATTAACAGAGTTGGAAGGGACCTTGTAGGTCATCTAGTCCAACCCCCCAACCAAGCAGGAGACCCTACACCATTTCTGAAAGATGGCAATCCAGTCTCTTCTTGAAAGCTTCCAGTGATGAAACTCCCACAAGTTCTAAAGGCAACTCTTGTTCCTTGGGTTGATTGCTCTCACTGTCAGAAAATTTCTTCTTATTTCCAGGTTGAATCTCTTTCAGTTTCCATCCATTATTCCTTGTCTGGTCTTCAGGTGCTTTGGAAAATAAACCCCTTCCTCTCTGTGGCAGCCCCTCAAATATTGAAAACACTCCTATCATGTCTCCCCTGGTCCTTCTCTTCACTAGGCTAGCCATGCCCAGTTCCTGCAACCGTTCTTCGTATGTTTTAGCCTCCAGTCCCCTAATCACCTTGGTTGCTCTTTTCTGCACTTTTTCTAGAGTCTCAACATTTTTTTTTATAGCGTGGTGACCAAAACTGGATGCAGGACTCTAGGTGTGGTCTTGCTAAGGTTTGGTATTAGTATCTCACTTGATCTTGATTGTATCCCTCTCTTAATGCAGTTTTGGATTGCATTGGCTTTTTTTGGCTGCCGCTGCATCTCTGGGTGGTCTCCCATCCCACTTAAGTTTTTAAAGTGAGCTAGGTATCTCCAAAGGGTGATTGAGTTTGTCTGGATCACGTCGCTAAGAAAGTCCAGGACACAGGTCCAGGAGCCAGAGGACAGTTGTGAGACAGGAAAATGATGGAGGGAATGTCACTGCGTTATGTGTTTGTCAGCCGAGCTTCCATCCTAAGACTTACGGTAGCCTGCCAGAGAACTTTAGCACGTCTCTGTAGTAACAGAGATAAGACTATCTTGTGATTTCTGAGCTACTGCGCATGTCCAAGCTTAAGGAAGAAAGTTCCTGATCTTTTTCCTTTGTCCGTCTCTGAGATAAAACTGCCGGTAACGATGTAGTTAGTAAGTTTGTTTTATTTTTTTATAATATAATGTTTCTTAGAATATATTTCAGGTTTCCTTTCTTTAAAGTATACAGCATGGAAAACAAGATCCATCCGTCTCTAATGAAGTGCAATTACCCCAGAGAAGTATCGAAGTTAATTTACGCTCTGACAGGGAAGAAGACCTCAACTATGTTTAAATCCCCTTACAGAATTCAACCCCCCCCCAAAAAATTTGGCCACTTTAACGTGGGACGGACTTCCAACTCCCAGAATTTTCTCTCCCAGCCAGAGATTTTTAGGATGATCTTGGACTGGGGCCTGCAGAATTAAAAAAAAGCTGGAGATCCCTGCAATCTAATCCCTCCTCCTCCTCCTCCTCCTCCCGTTTAGGCAGTGGGATGTCCCAACCCCCTTCCCTGCCTTGCCCCCCCCTTTTTTTTGCATGCACCCAAATTTTTATTAAAACAAAACCAAGTCAGGAACTATGAACAGAAAAACAAGAAACATGCCACCCCCTGCCTGTAAGGATTTTTATTTTCTCTCATCGCCCACGTTTTTTTTTTAATGGTTACCCCCTTGTTTAATTTAACCCTGTAACAGTTCCCAGCATCGAGACACAGAACTGCAGCAGCTGAGGGGAGAATCGGTGGGTAAAGAAGTGCAATTTTTAGAAAACGGAAGGGGAAAATCGGTAGTGTAATAATAGCAATAAAATAACCAAAGCCAAGTCATGTTTGTACTTTACAAAGTCCTACTTTCCGTCGGGCACTTAAGACCTTCCTCTTTCACCAAGCCGGGCTGGCACAATTAATTTTTTCTTTCCTTTTCCTAATTGTGTAAATTTTATTCTGAAGATCTTAAATTTAACTGATAAGCCAAATTGACTTAATTATTATTTATTGCTTCTATTCACATTTTTATACATATGTTTATTTTGACTGTTCACCGCCCTGAGTCCTTCGGGAGAAGGGCGGCATAAAAAATTAATTAATTAAATAAATAAATAAATAAATAAATAAATAAATAAATAAATAAATAAATAAATAATGTTTGTCAGCTGCCTGGAGTCGCCTCAACGTGAGACGGGTGGCAAACGAATCAAATAAATTAAATTAAATTAAATTAAAATTAAATTAAATTAAATTAAATTAAATTAAATTAAATTAAATTAAATTATTAAATTAAATTAAATTAAATTAAACTCAAGATCTGTTCCTGACTGATCCCCCCCACCCTCAATGAAAAAGATACTTCGGCTGCATTTCAGGAAGGGTTTCCATGGCTGTGATAGTTGCCTACTTTTGGTGTGTCAATTGATCTCGATAGGTGTGGTACTGGCCACAGATCAAAATGCCTTGTCCCATTTTCCAACCAGCCCCGCTTTCAGCGCTGGCCAGTTCCAGGCTGCAATGCCTTCCAACGCCGCTAGGAGGCAGGGGGGACAGATTCCTTGCCCGCTTCCTTTCTCTCCAACAAGTGGCCCGCGGGCGCAGCCCCCATTCCCAAGCGATCCTAAACCCGGACGATCAAAATCGTGCACGGGGCACCCCAAAAAAGCTGGGGGGGGGAAGAAGCTCATCACGGGGGCGGGAAAGTCCTCGGGTGGGCGTCCCCCTTGCCCCCCCACTAGCGCTGGTGGGGGGTTTCCCTCTTCCACCCACGCGGGCGCCAGGTTGGCGCTTCCCACCCACCCGCCTCCCTCTCCCACCCACCCACCCACCCGCGTGTCCGCGAGCGCCCGGGGATTCCCTCCTGCCCACGTGTCGCCTTACCCGCCAGGAAGCCCACCGCCAGCGCCGCCCCAACAGCCGCCGTGCCCCCCAGGAGGGTCTCGCGGGAGAAACCGGAGAAAACCATGCCCGGAGCAAAGGTGGTGGGAAGCGGATCCGGCAAGGAAAAGCTTTGGCTGCTTTTTCCCCAAGACCTGTCCGTCACGTGTCCCGGGCTGGCGAGCGGCCCCTGCAGGCGGCTGAACCCGGGACTTGAATTTTAACCCCGTTGCGCAATGAGGACTAGTCACCTGCGCGGCGGTGTGGACCAGGCTCCTGGGGGAGGGAGGGGGGCTGTGGGGTGGTCCTTAATGCCTCGGACTGGCCTCTGGGTCCAATGTGGGGGGGGGGCAGCCCAGAGGGGGTTGGGAAGGGGGGAGCATCATATCCCGGGTCCCCAAAGAACGTCTGAATGCGTCCCGCTGACCTGCTTGCAAGTGGATTTTGCGCGGAGCTTGTTCGGCAACTTTGTATTTCTGGCCAGCCTGGGATGCGAGGAAGATACTTGGTGGCAAAATCGAGGGTTTTTGTCGCTGAAGTTGCAGAAGTGAATCCGGTTTGTCATTGGGGGTGGCGTAGGGTTGCCAGGTCTGCTTCCAAAAAATAGCAGACGTGGGGGTGGGTGGGTGGGGGGTTGTTAAGTAGTAAAAAAATAAAAAATGTTTACAATTAAATTATATATTTTCTTAACAAACATTTTAACACGTATTAAAACAATCCCTTCAAAACTTTACTTAAAATTCAAAACATCAAATATATTATAATCATATGTAGAATATTAAATTACATTTTACTTTGCTGCCGTGTGTATTTTTTATTTGACTGGGCAGCTTTGATCAATTCTTTGTGTTTAAGGAATAATTCTTTAATTTCAGTACAACGTTGAGAAATATTAAAAAATATACAAAGTTCACTTCGAACTGATGGTACAAGCAGTCGGTTACGTTTGTCAGTCCACAAATTTCCCATGACGCTGAAAATTCGTTCAACGTTTGCATTTGATACCGGAATTGATGCACAATACTGGAACAGTTTCAGTAAACTCGGAGCTGGCGCTTTCTTGAAAAAGTACGTCCACTTATCAAGGGATGAATCGCCCTGCAGATGAACATAAACTTCTTCTAAGGCAGAAATTTCATCGAAGAGAGTGTTGGGTGGAAGTTCTTCTCGCCATGGTGATAATAACCAGATGTTCGTCATTTCTTGTAAAGTTGGAGGATTATTGCGATCAATTAGATTGAAACAATTTAGCGCCTCATATACTGAATCGGTGAAATTATACCACTTTTCTAGGTACGCAATGGCTCTTACACGTTGATGGCTTCTTTCTTGAACTTTTGCACGGCATTCTCAGGCAAATGTTTTTTATGTAAGGCAAATAAAACTTTCATTCCAAAAAACTGCTCATCGTATTTTTTTTTGCAAAGAATCACGCAGCTTACCCATGATAATGTGAAGATCACATGCAAGAATTTTCTTGCTTTCCAGCTTCAGTAGGGTGTCTTGCATTATTGACATGAAGAAGTGCATGAAATATAAATACAATTCTGAAATTGTTGGTTCATCGTCCTTTGCGAGTTCATTTTCCTGATCCGAAATAAGGTTCCAGATAACCTTATGGCACTCATCAGATCCAAGAGAAATAAAATACGATTTTAGAGGTATCCAGTTTCAAAGAAGTCTTTCGACCGCTTTAAACAAACTTAACCAACGTGTTGGAACATGGCGCAAAACTTCATGGAATTCTGACTCACAAAACATACGTACCATTTCATCATAAAGCTTTTGAATAAAAAAAATGTCCACTATTTTGTGAAAAAAAATAGTGAACATAATGTGAAAAAAGCGGACTGTCCGCTCAAATAGTGGACACTTGGTAACCCTAGGGGTAGGGGTTGGGGGGGTAACGTAGGGTGGGGTGGGCAAGAAGACACATTTAGTACAGGTAGTCCTCGTCTTACAGCAGCTCCTTTAGTGACCGAAGTTACAACGGCGTTGGGAAAAAAGTGACTCATGACCGGTTTTCACACTTAATGACCGTTGCAGCATCCCTGTGGTCACACGGTCAAAATTCTGACTCGTGGGCAACCGGTTTGTATTTATGACAATTGCAGTGTCCTCTCTCTCTCTCTCTCTCTCTCTCTCTCTCTGTGTGATGTGATCCCCGTTTGCGACTTTCTGACAAACAAAGTCAATGGGGAGGCCAGATTCACGTAACAGCCGTACGTAACAACAACTTAACAACGGCAGTAACAAATGCGGCAAGAAAAGGCGTTAAAATGGGGCAAAACTCAAATTTCTCACTTAGCAATAGAAATTTTGGGGCTCAGTTGTGGTCGTAAATCAAGGATTACCTGAACTCACTCGCTCACTCTCTCTCTCTGTCTGTCTCTGTCTCTCTCTCTCTGCACAGGAATTCCTGTGGATAGGTTTCTGAACTGTGCTTAAATCCAAGAAGGAGATGGAGCAGTGCCTGGAATTGTTCCTCCTGGGTTTTAAAATGTGCGTATCTGCAACTTTTGGATTAGACAGGGCAGCAGACCAGGGCAGAGAAAGGGGTAGGGCTGCATATTTACATTGCACCCCATTTTGTTTGTTTGTTTGTTTATTAATTAATTAATTAATTCATTTCATTTCATTCATTCATTTTACAAAAAACAAGATTTTTAAAAATGTTGGGACTCTGGAAAGAGTACAGAGAAGAGCAACAAAGATGAAGAATCAGAATAGAGCAGGAAGGGACCTTGGAGGTCTTCTAGTCCAGCCCCCTGCTTAAGCAGGAGAACCTATACTATTTCAGACAAGTGGCTGTCCAGTCTCTTCTTAAAAATCTCCAGTGATGGAGCATCCACGCTTTCTGGAGGCAAGCTGTTCTACAGGTTAATTGTCCTCACTGTTAGGAAGTTTCTCCTTAATTCCAGGTTGCTTCTCTTTTTGATCAGTTTCCAACCATTGTTTCTTGTCCTGTCTTTCCATGCTTTGGAAAATAAATTGACAATCCCACCCCCTCTTTATGGCAGCCCCTCAAATACTCTAATACTGCTACATTCTATTTATTGATTAGCCCTCGGGCCATATCAAAGTGCAGAGTTCCAGAAACAATTATTACAAAAATTTGATAGAATTTCATTTAAAATGAAATTAGAGAAAAATACAGTCTAAAATGAAATCAGAATAGAATACAATAATTTGAGATGCAAATTAAATATGATTAAGATTATATTACAATGTCACCCCTGCATCTGCCCAATCAATCTTAAAACTACTATTAGAATTACTTTATTAAATCAAATGCTCTTTCCTGCAATCTATCACATTCTGCTGTGCCAACGGTGTCCTTTTTCCCATCAATTTTATAGCAAATTTGGCAATCCATTTCACCAGCTGCAAGTTAGAACCTAACAAACAATGTTGCAAGAAGCGCTCTTTAGACTTAGGGGTGCTGGGGTAAACTGCTACATTCAGGGTGGATTTGATTTAAATCGAGTTGATTTAAATCACTAGTAAAAAGGCTCGATTTAAATCAACTCGATTTAAATCATCATTTTTAAAGAGCAACTGTCAATCTCTGCTACTCCTTTGACCCACTGTTGACTCACCGATAGTCCTAGTGTTGCAGAATATACAGCCTCATGCTACATAACTAAGCTCCATTTCATGCTGAATAAACTAAATTATTTATGTATCTTAAATAGAAAACTATCTTACAATAGATTTTTACCCCAAAAGTTTTTTATTAAAATAAATTCGATAAAAATAAAAAAAATCCAATTTAAATTAAAAAAATCCAATTTAAATTAAAAAAAATCTGATTTTTTTTAAAAAAAATCATTGATTTTTATCCACCCTGGCTACATTTCACCCCTAGTTTTTTTCTCTCTCTAGACTGGCCATAATCAATTCCTGCAACCGTTTTTCATATGATTTTGCCTCCGGGCCTTTCATCACCTTACTTGCTCTTCTTTGCACTTTTTCCAAAGTCTGAACATCTTTTTTGTAATGTGGTGACCAAACCTGAATGCAGGCATTGGGCATGTCTGGTCTAATGGAGAGAAGGACTAGGGGAGACATGTTAGCAATCTTCCAATGTTCGAGGGGCTATCTCAGAGGGATGAAACTGTTCTCCAAAGCACCTGGTTGCAGGGCAAGAAATGACCAATGGAAGCTTATTAAAGAGAGAAGCAACCTAGAACTAAGGAGAAATTTCCTGATGCTTGAGAACAAGTGATTGGTGGAATGGCTTATGGGTCTGGGTCAGTAGTGAAATCCAAATTTTTTTACTACCGGTTCTGTGGACGTGGCTTGGTGGACGTGGCAGGGGAAGGATACTGCAAAATCTCCATTCCCTCCCCATTCCAGGGGAAGGATACTGCAAAATCTCCATTCCCTCCCCATTCCAGGGGAAGGATACTGCAAAATCTCCATTCCCACCCCACCCCAGGGGAAGGATACTGCAAAATCTCCATTCCCACCCCACTCCAGGGGAAGGATACTGCAAAATCTCCATTCCCTCCTCACTCCAGGAGAAGGATATTGCAAACGCATTGTAAGCCACCCTGAGTCTCTGGAGAAGGGCGGCATATAAAAATAAATAAATAATAAAAAATCTCCAGTCCCACCCCACTCCTGAGGAAAGGATACTGCAAAATCTCCAGTCCCTCCTCACTTCAGAGGGAAGGATACTGCAAAATCTCCATTCCCTCCCCACTTTCTGGGGGAAGGATACTGCAAAATCTCCATTCCCTCCACTTCTGGGGGAAGGATACTGCAAAATCTCCATTCCCTCCCCACTCCAGGAGGAAGGATACTGCAAAATCTCCATTCCCACCCCACTCCAGGAGGAAAGATACTGCAAAATCCCCATTCCCTCCCCACTCCAGGGGGAAGGATACTGCAAAATCTCTGTTCCCACCCCACTCCTGTGGAAAGGATATTGCAAAATCTCCATTCCCATCCCACTCCAGGGGAAGGATATTGCAAAATCTCCATTCTCACCCCACTCCTGGGGAAGGATATTGCAAAATCTCCATTCCCACCCCACTCTGGGGCCAGCCAGAGGTGGTATTTGCCGGTTCTCCCAACTGCTCAAAATTTCTGCTACCGGTTCTCCAGAACCTGTCAGAAGCTGCTGGATTTCACCCTTGGT